ACCTGAAGGGAAAATTGACCCCCCCCCCCAAGATATTCGTTTGAATTCCACAAATCACTGAAACCACAACGCCAGGTTCCTACAAATAGCTTGCCAGATTTAGAACCTAGAAATAGCAACAGGCACCTACCATTGTCATATTTCCACTGCTAATGAGAGCATTTGTTCCACCTACTGTACATCTGCACAGTATTATTAGTTAATAGTGGGAAAATTGACCCCCCCCCCCAAGATATTCGTTTGAATTCCACAAATCACTGAAACCACAACGCCAGGTTCCTACAAATAGCTTGCCAGATTTAGAACCTAGAAATAGCAACAGGCACCTACCATTGTCATATTTCCACTGCTAATGAGAGCATTTGTTCCACCTACTGTACATCTGCACAGTATTATTAGTTAATAGTTGTGCCACTACACGTGTTATGCCTTTGGAAGCAAAAACTGCAACCCCTTTGGCTGAAATGTTTCTGAAACACTGACATGTGGCTTCGCGGGTGTCTCTTTGCTGTGTTTACAGACCATACCTTAACGTTCAGACAACAAAACTCCGGCCCACGCCACGTACAGTCTTTTCATGGCACAAATTGCCTCTCATCCTGCTGTGTGCTTTGAGTAGCTAGGATACCGGGAGCTAAGGGGAAGGAGGACTATGCAGTAATTCCGCAGTCAGACTCTCCGCTGCTAAACACAATGGGTCTGATCCTGCCCCACTCAAGTCAATGGCCAAACTCCCCATTGACTTCAAAGATCAGGCTCTATAAATATGTTTGGGGGTGGGAAATCAATACAACCAAAAGTTTGGGAAGCTGAACTGGGTGTATCCTAAAAGCTTCTACTTGGCGGCAATGAGAGTTGGAAACTGTAAGGAATACAGGATCAGGCCCTATGCAAAAATTGTGTCCAAAGCTAAAAATATACAGGCGAGGGATAAAAATCGAACATTATGCCTTACTTTACTAGTCCACCTGCCCAGTTGTATTACAAATGTAATTTTTCCCATCATTATCATGTTCTCGCTGAATACGGAGAAGGGAGGCAAACCTACAGCCCTCATTGGAGGGGGAAAAAACTGTCTAAGATTGGGCCCATTACATGACACATGTAGTCAGACATAAATTACATTATCTCATTTTATTCACTCTGCTATCTCTCCACAGAAAAACAACCAGAAAAACTTAAGAGAAGCATTGGACCCAAGTGCTGGCCCACATACACATTCACTACAAAGAGGTAGAAGATGGGGTCAGAATTTTTTGTTGCACGGGAAGGCTTGGAAGTGGGGAATAAAAGAGGACTTTACTCTTCATGAAGCATTTCTGGACAAACACTGATTCAACAACAACGACCCCATCTCCAAGAGCCCACAAGGAGAAATCATTTCATTGGCTAGCTGCAGTTTGCTCTGATCGAATGGAGGAGAATCATGCAGGAGAGTTTCAGACGGATCCGAGACAGAGATATTACAAGAGCTGAGCGAGAGATTGCTAATGAGCGTTCCGGGCAAATATTCCCAAGCTGACGCCACACTGCCGTGCTTTGTGTGTGCAGGGCACATGTTGCTAAGTGAGCACAATTGCTGCCTTAGTGAAGCACCTTGCTCCCACTTCAGTAAACAGAACAGGAGAGCAGTCTGCCAAGACATATAGCAAAACCAAAAGTCCATGCTCTCTTCTTTTATTGGTCAGAGAGACTCAGCTGTAAAGGTTCAGTGACTTTTCCCCAGTCTTGTATGTTAATTTAAAAGTTGTTAGCTCAAACACCCCTCATTTGCCAACTTGCTTTTGGCTCGGAGATTAAGTCTTTAAGGCGTCTTAAGTCTTTAAGGATCATGACAGATTTTCTTTAATAAAACAATGAAGATATTAGAAGAAAGAAAAATAAGCAATGCAGGGGAATGTGTACGGAGAAAAGGGGAACAGATAAGTGGCACTGTCATCTGAGATCCTGCGCCTTTGCAAGTCTCAGGATATTTCTAGAGGATGACAAAGTAACTACAAATGAGATCCTCATCGCCAGGGGGTGTGCTGGCCAGGAGGATGGAAAGGCAAACAAGTGTAAAGGCAAGGCAAAGAGAACACCGAAAAGAAAACATCATTAGATCAAGCCTGGGGAGCAGAGATGTGGCAGTGAACACAATCTTTTTAACACCCAGAATAGAAGTTTAAGCGTGTTCTGTAACGACTGCCTCCAAATTCCTGGGAAGCACATGCTTGGTTAAAATGGAAAAGCTTGTACAAGGCAGCCATAAATAAGTGTGCCGTTTCCTATTTGTTTTTTTTTTTCAACTGTCATGAATCAAGTTAAAATGATGCAATCTCTCCCCAGTCACTCAAACCACAATGGCTCCCCCACCCCCCCTTACTTCTTCTTTTGGCCAGACCCATTCAGAAAGAATTCCACCAGCTGCTCCCCATGCATCTTTCCTAGACTGCAATCGCTGTGCAGTGTTATGAATAATTGCCATGGCAAGAAGGGGACAGAAAATTGATTGTATTTTTTTAATGCATCTAAACGCTTTCCCTCTGTTCTGGAATCCCTGAAGTGATGGAAAAATAAAAAAAGATGCCCAATACAGAGCAAAGGGAGTATTCAGGCTAACTTTTCCACACCTCCCCCCAAAATGTAATACCCTCCGGTGGCAGCTGGTGCCTGGAAAGAAAGGAGCACAAACAGATGCTCCAGGGTTCCAGGCTTACTTAGCTAATTATTTTCGCTCTGGTGAGTTATGGGGTGTGAGAAAAGGCAAAACTCTGTGACTCTGCAGAAAAGTGCAACCAATAAACCTGCGAGTAAAGCACACGCACACACATAGACTGACCTCCCACCCCTCTACACACACACCTCCCGCATCCCAGGCACAGCCTTTCGAAGGGGGCATTTCAGAGGTGACTGGGGGGCAGCCTGGGCTACAGAAAGAGGCGGGTGAAAAAGAAAGTGCTCCTTACCTGGCAGTGGATTTGAGCTGGGGAGGTATGTACTTAAAAAGAGTGTAAGATCCAGTGGCTAGGGGAGACTCAGCAAAGCAATCCCAGGTGCCTTACCCCGCTGCGCTGTTTGCAACTCAAACCCTGCATGAGCAACTGCCTCTTGCTTGAGGGCGGCCATGTGATTTTTAATGCCGGCTCGGCAGTCTCCGCCCCCCGGGGTTGCCCCAAACCAATGGGAGAAGGGGGGCCGGCTCAGCCCAGTGTAAGATCCAGTGGCTAGGGGAGACTCAGCAAAGCAATCCCAGGTGCCTTACCCCGCTGCGCTGTTTGCAACTCAAACCCTGCATGAGCAACTGCCTCTTGCTTGAGGGCGGCCATGTGATTTTTAATGCCGGCTCGGCAGTCTCCGCCCCCCGGGGTTGCCCCAAACCAATGGGAGAAGGGGGGCCGGCTCAGCCCAGGCTAGGTCTTCGCCGGAGCGCCCGGCTTTGGTCAGAGTGAGGGTTCCCCGGCGAGGGGCGCAAGCAGGCTGGGGAGGGAGAGCAGCCCGGAGCCCCCGGCCCTTTGTGGGGAGGGGGGCGAGAGGCAGGAGTTAGGGGCGCGCAGAAGGAGGGCGCACCTGCGGGCGTGGACAGGAGGGAGAGGTGCGGTTCAGAGGGGTACCAGTTTCCAGGACTGGCCTGGAGTCTCCAGGAATGAAAGCTTAATCTGTCCTTGAAGAGCCTTTTCGGGTAGGTCCCGCCAGATCTGGATGTACCCTTGGAGGTGTCATCACATGACAGGCTCTTCAGTTAAATTGGGCAGATGGAGAGGAGTCTGGGGAGGGTACCCCCGGGTTCCTGGGAAGTAGGAGGCCTTTCAGGGTGCGGGGAGACGAAGTGGGGGCAGAGAAGGCGAGGGACGGGTTGGAAGGGGGTTCAGGGAAGGGGTGGAGGAGGCAGGGTGAGTGGGGGCAGCTGGTGAGAAGAGGCATCTGGTGGGGAGTGGGAAGGTTGGTTATGAAGGGAGGGAGGGAGGCTGTTCACAGGGGCATTTTGGTACATTTAGGATGCTCATTCCACTGGCATTCAATAGCCAGGCGCTGTATGCCCAGCTGGTCTGGAAGCTGGCCTGTAGGGGAGTCTTATGGCTGGGATTTCGATGCACATGCGAATGGGCTTTATCGGAGTATATCTATGCTGCAGGGTAAGCCCAGGTCCTAACTCAGGTTGGAGCCTCGGGCCTCCTTCCCTCCACCTACAAATTGGTTGGATGTGGAGTAACAAGCGCTAACAACCTAGACTGTAGGACCCTGCTGGGGCTGAGCCCTGTCCATTGGTGCCTCACGCCATAGCCTGGAGACAGGTCTGTGTAGTGCAGCATGGCCATGGTAGCACAGCAGTGAGAACTGGGTCTAGCAGTTGTAAGCCCAGGTTTGTGCAGTACAGACTAAGAAGGGTGAGCTTGGACTCCATGAGTCCAGAAGTCCTGCTCTCTGGACTTATCATGTGATATAGACACATGTGATGTATACAGCCCCACTGGCTATGAAATACTTCCCCCAGTTAATTCCTAGGCTGAAGGGCACCAGCTCTCCTGTCCTTCAACTGGGCCCAAGAGTATCATTATTATCTGTGATGCAGTAACACCTGCATGCTCCAATCAAAGCCAGGGACCTAACCGCACAAAACCAAAAAGGCTGCCCATGCTAGAGAGAGCAGGTGTGTACAAGAAGCTGTGTGTAAAATATACTCTGCAGTTAGGGAAGAATTCCAGGCTATGGTCTTTTGTCTCTCTGACTTTTTCATGTGGGGCTTGACTGGAATGGAGAACACCTGTTAACCATATTCCCTTTGTCCATTCGTGTAGAAATCACTTGTTCCATACGTAACAGGGTGAGATATTAGAGAGACAAGGTGGGAGAAGCAATATCTTTCATTGAGCCAACTTGTGTTCATGAGGGAGATGTGCTTTCAAGCCGCACAGAGCTCTCCTTCACATCTAGGATATTACCTCACCCCCTTGTCTCGCTAATAGCCTGGGGCCGATACAGCTACATTACATACAACGGTGTAACACATAATACGGAGATATACCTATCTCATAGAGCTGGAAGGGACCTTGAGAGGCCATCGAGTCTAGTCCCCTGCCCTCATAGCAGGCCCAAGTACCATCCCTGACAGATTTGCCCCAGATCCCTAAATGGCCCACTCAAGGATTGAACTCACAACCCTGGGTTTAGCAGGCTAATACTCAAAACACTGAGCTAACATATAAAAGAAAGTTTCCTGTATTTATGGGAACCCACAGGAGTCGTCTTCCATTCAGAGCCATCCTGAGAAGAGGAAATTCATTTCCATTTAATTTTTCTGGGACAGCTGCCAAACTGTATTGGGAAACATGCAGGGTAAGTTGGACTGGACATTCTAATCTAGCTTTCTTCAGCACCTCCATCACATGCATATCTAGGTGCGGATATGTTTTTAAATCCCACGTAGAGTTGAAAAATGGCTTTTATTTCTAGCTACTATGGCAATGCCCAATATTTATTTATTTATGTTGATAAGCATCCTTTCTTAATAGTTCTAACCGGACATGCTAATCACCGATGGTATAACCGTGAAAAGATATCACAAATACGACCCTGAGCGCCACAAAGCAATTTAATATAACATACTACCCAAATGAGGTTTGCAAATAAAGGCTATTTTGGACCAAAATAGTTGGAATATCCCCATCGCCATAATCACGAGACCTTCTTTATTTGTGTGTCACGCTGCCTACGGCAGATGGACCAGGCTGCTGTTCCACTATTTAAAAATAAGCAAATATCAAAAAAGATCCCAAAAGATTCTGCCATCCCTAGAGTTCCTTTGGTCTTAAATTCCCAGTAAAGAAAACTACAAAGACGTGTCCAGCCCAAAACTCAATAGGAAGAAAACAAAAGGTTTTGAAAACATGATCTGAAATTTGCTGGATTCTGGTTGTGATGCACAGGGGGAGAAGTGTTGTTTACCGAGGCAGCTGAGTTCTTGGCGCCGACAGCTGAAATGCATCCGAGAGCATCCTATGTTGTGATGGAAAAATACAGAAGAAGGCACTAGTTAAGTTAGGGGGGGTCACAGACCATACAGGGCTTTAGAGATTATCACTAGCACCTTGAATTGCACCCAGGAATGACATGGTAGCCACTGCAACATATGGTGAACAGGTGCTTTAGCACTGAGGGGCAAAGAGTTCTTTTACCCAGCAACGGGGCCATCTGCTGGTCGGATGTGGGAGGGGAGATGTTCTCCACACAAGGCAGTGTGGACTGCCGATGCTATGCTGGAGCAGTGGCTTTCTAACTTTTCTTTTTTTCTCATGATCCAGTTGAAAAAAATTGGTTATGCCCCCGACCCAACATACTTGGACTAGATGGGGTGGGACTGAGGATGGGAGCTTTGGGGTTCAGGAGGGGACTCAGGCTTTGCGGGGAGATCAGGAGGGGCTTACCATGAGCAGCTCCTGGTGCAGCAGGAGGAGAGGGGTGGGGGTTAAGGCAGCTTCCTGCCTCTCCTGGCACCACAGACCATGCGGTGCCCTGGAAGCAGCCAGAAGTAGGTTTGCAGCTAATGGGAGTGCAGCGTTAGTGCTCGGGGCAGGGGCAGTGTGTGGAGCCTTGTGTTTTCCCCCAACCCCGACCCATTCCAGGAGCTGGGCCTGCTGCCAGCTGCTTCTGGGGTGCAGTGCAGTCTGTGGTGCTAGGATAGGTAGGGAGCTGTGTCAGCACCCCACTGATCACCTGAGACCCATGCCTGACATTCTACAAGCCAGTACCAGGTCATGACTCAGTTTGAAAACCATGTTCCACTCTTGCTCCCACTCAGTAAGCTTATAGCCACGATGTGAGCCTGTGTGGGGCAGCTGTCTGAAAGTGTTTTACGGAAACCATCTCTCTTAGGGTGCGTCTACACAGCACCATAAACTCAAAATAAGATACGCAATTTGCATCACATAACTTTGATGTGTATACATACCCTCAGGCTTTGTCTACACTGCAGGGCTGTGTCTAGACTGGCATGATTTTACGGAAATGCTTTTAACGGAAAAGTTTTCCGTTAAAAGCATTTTCGGAAAAGAGCGTCTAGATTGGCACAGACGCTTTTCCGCAAAAACACTTTTTGCGGAAAAGTGTCCGTGCCAACCTAGACATGCTTTTCTGTAAAAAAGCCCCGATGGCCATTTTCGCGATCGGGGCTTTTTTGCGGAAAACAAATCTGAGCTGTCTACAATGGCCCTTTTGCGCAAAAGTTTTGCGCAAATGGACTTTTGCCTGAACGGGAGCAGCATAGTATTTCCGCAAGAAGCACTGATTTCTTACAGTAGGAAGTCAGTGCTTTTGCTGAAATTCAAGTGGCCAGTGTAGATAGCTGGCAAGTTTTTCTGGAAAAGCAGCTGATTTTCCGGAAAAACTGGCCAGTCTAGACACAGCCCAGGGGTTTTGCACAAGAAGCCTTTTGCAGAAGAGTTCTTGCAGAAAAACGTCTTGTGCAAAAGTGCATCCACACCTCAAAGCGCATCTCTTTTGCACAAGAGAGCATCCGCACTGCATGGATGCTCTTGCACAAGAAAGCTCTGATGGGAATGGCCATCAGAGCACCTCTGCTTTTTCAGATAGTCTCTTTTTGCTCAAGAAACCCCCACGGAGCATCCACACATGCCTTTTTGCGCAAGATCTTTAGTGCAAAAAGGAGTTATGCCTCATAGAAGTGTATCTACACTGCAAAAAGACCTCTGTTCTGTTGATTGACTGTAGATTTTCTTGCACAAAAGCCCGCTAGAGGTGTGGACGCTTCATGGGGTTTTGCGCAAAACCCTTGTAGTGTAGACATAGCCTCATAGTCCAGGTTTTAGAGTAGTCTCAGGTCATCGCGAGATGTGGTCAGGTAATGAAGATGGGTTTACCAAGGCCTATGGATTCCAACTTGTCCTACATATGTGTGTGTGTATGCACACTTTAAAAATGACCACTTACCACTTCTACTATTATTTATGGTAGTTGACGTGTTCCCAGTTCTCAGAAAGGGGAAGTACCACAAATATTGCAACAACTCGTAAAATAGATTCAGTAAATGGAAGTTTTTAAAAATCCCCACCCTATGTGTTATCGAGTTCAGTATATACAAATTACAAACT